AGAAGACGACAGCGAGCTCACCTATTTGCCGGTCGAAAAACTAGAGGTAAATTTGAACCAACTTTTCTTATAGTTTTCATTTAGACATGTGGCCTGAACGCGCGCGACATCACCCTCCTGAAATCGGCCAGTTTCCACACAATCGAAGCTATTGCGATGGCGCCCCGCAAGGAAGTGTACGCCGTCAAGGGGATCTCCGAGCAGAAAGCAGATAGAATTATTGTAAGCATTAAAAATTACTCTCTTTCAAGATTCATTCAGCTCGAAGCACAGAAGCTGATCCCGATGGGCTTCACCTCGGCGAGCGACGTGCACTTGAAGAGGAGCAGCTTGGTGTCGATAAGGTACTTTAAAAAACCTGGAAAAAGTCTGTTTTTCAGAACGGGCAGCGCCAATCTTGATCGAATCCTCGGCGGCGGTATTGAAACCGGCTCGATCACAGAGGTATCGCTTCAATCTGTTTTAATTTTTTTGTTTTTCCAGCTCTTTGGTGAATACCGAACGGGCAAGTCGCAGCTCTGTCACACGCTAGCCGTCCTCTGCCAGATGCCAGTGGTAAATTTCCTTTTTTGGCGCTATTTCAGTTTACCGGCCCCACTTATATATGGCCAAAATGACATTTTTCTGGGTGAGTTTTTTGCGCTGGTTACGGAAAACACTATCCCGGCCCACGAAAATGCGATTTAGAAAAACAATTTAATTGGAATGTTGGGAAAATTCCATTTTACGGCGGTCGCGTAAAAGGAGTATTTTTGTGGTTTTTTAATTAAATAATGACCAAAAACGGGTTTATCATGAATGAAGTAAGCCAGTAACATTGTCAGGCAAGGCGGGCCGTCGCTTCGGATGGGCTGCCGCTCCACTCTTTCGAAATCGGGGCGCCTAGCCGCTTCGCGCGCCTCGGGCGCCCCTATTTCGAAACCCTGTACGAGCACCCATCCGAAGCGACTAGGCCCCGGGGTGGCACGAAGCCTTATTTTTAGGAAAAAAGCGGATGCAATCGCTGAGCCTTCTTTTCCACTGATTTACAGGCCTCCCGCATCAAAACCCCTTGAAAAGCTCAAACCAGAAAACCGAAAATTATGTGTTTTCTCCCCTGAAAATTCACGATTTGGCGTTCTAGATTTTGGTATAAAAGTAATTTTTTCTCATTAGATTGCATTTTCGTGGGCCGGGATAGTGTTTTCCGTAACCAGCGCAATCACGTTTTTCTTCTTTTACACCGATTTTAGGACATGGGCGGCGCAGAAGGAAAATGCATGTTTATCGACACAGAAAACACATTCCGACCCGAACGGCTGGTATCCATTGCACAAAAGTAGGAACATTCTTTGGTTCTTTTAAAGTCCGTTTTAGGTATGGCCTTGTGGCGAAGAGTGTCCTCGACAACGTTGCGGTGGCGAGGTAATTTCTGTGAACTTTTCTATTATTTTTAGATGCTACAACTCTGACCACTTGCTGAGCCTACTCGACCACGCCGCCGCCATGATGGCCGACAGTCGCTACGCGCTGATCATAGTGGACTGTGCGATTGCCCCATTCAGGTATAGTCGTCTATCTGCTTTTTAAACTTAGTCTGTTATAGATCAGACTACAATGGCCGTGGCGAGTTGGCGGCTCGACAGCAAGCCATCGCCAAGCTGATGCGCAAACTGGCCGGTCTGGCCGATATCTTCGGAGTTGCCGTCGTGATTACAAATCAGGTATACATCAAAAGTATTACTCTCTATCACAATATGTCGTTATTAGGTTGTCGCCCATGTCGATGGAAGCGCGGGCCCCTACCAAGCCGACCCGAAGAAGCCCATCGGCGGCAATATCGTGGCCCACATGAGCACCACCCGGCTCGGCCTCAGGAAGGGAAAGGGCGAAAATCGCGTCTGCAAGGTATCTACTTTTTTCGGCATTATTTTGTATCAATAGCGGATCTGAAAGGTGTTTTATTAGGCATAAAAACTTTAATTTTAGCTGGAAAAGATTGTTTTGTTTGGCTTGAAACGATCGAAATGTCGACTTTTTGAATGATTTTCACATTTTTGGCAATTTTTTCTATTTCAGCTTTAATTAAAAGTTATTAAGAACAGTATAGAACACTATATGCGATTAGTAGGTTGGAATGATTGGTAAAAATTGCCTCTCTCGGGAAGCTTACCCATTAATCGTTTTTCTAGCATCTATAGAATTTATTTTGCAGATACACCAATCCCCGTCGCAACCCGAATCCGAGGCCACGTTCGCCATCACCGACCACGGCATCGACGACCCGAAGGAGACGTAATTCACTGCCATCCCTCAAAATTCCGCTCATTTGTACGTTTGGCTAACTTTTTCACTTTACTGCTCGATCGTCCGGTCTTTCTGGTGTACTGCCCTTCTCGCTATTTGTATGACCCCACGCTGTTATGTTCTGATCCAGATTTGAATGTCATATTTGTGTTGTAGGAAGACGGGTTTCTCGATAAAATTTCTGACGTGTGGTTTTTTCTGATGAATTTTCACTGGCAAACCGTCAGAGATCTGTATGCTTTTTTATTTCAGATCGATGAGCTCAGAAAAGTTGATTTTGTCGCCCGAACTGTTAGCGAGTCGGCTCGCGGCTGGACGAGAAGCGTCTATAGAGGGGATTTGAATGTTTTGCAGAACTTACGCGCCCGATGCGGGATCTCTGAAATCTCTGCATAAAGCCTGTGGTGCAACTGCAAGGCGCAATCTCGCCCAGGAAGACGATCGTTACAAAGCTGAAAAAAAGATCGTTTTACATTTTCCTGGTTGACTTACCCGGATACGGCATTACCGACAGCCGGTAAACAAGTCGTGACGATGGTCAGAAACCAGCTCGTCTGCATGATCATCGAATTATACGCACCGGCGCGTTGTATTTCGTTCTAAAAATTTTTACGCATTTTTAAAAGAAGATACATAAGCATCTGCGTCGTGAAATCCTTCCGAATCGAACAGGAGTTGGTTCCGTACGAGAAAAGCTATGTAGAAATTGACTGCGGTCACAGCCAAAGAGTAAGTGTGATTGACGATCATCTAGAATTAATTGGCTTTTTTGGAATTAAGATTGTCAATGAAGCTTTGCCTGGCTTACCTGCTTCGCCAGTTTCATGTCGGCCCGGCTTTGGTTCAGATTTTGGCTTGAGAGATGGCGATTTTTCTCCTGAATGTTTTATATCCAGGAATTTTCCTTTTACGAAAAACAAAATAAGAAAATCCGATCAGTTCTTGCCATCCGTTCATCTTCTGATCCTTTCCATTCCTTTGATTCCTTTCTTATTTATTTCTGCTAGTTTAATTTGGTTTATCAGATTTTATATTAAAAAACAAGAGCTCAACCAACCAAATGCCTTCGAATCAAGCCGAATGTGATCACGTCCGAGAGCAACGCGCCCAACGTCAACCCGTTGGCCACCATCCGCAGCTTGAACATCATGATCTGGACGTCTGGGCCGGCGTATTCGGTGCTGATCAAGGCGTAGCTGTGAGTCTCGTAGTAGATGATACTTTTGACTTAAAAATAAGTAAAAATGGCAATTTTCAGGAAGACACCCACGCGTCACCCGGTAGACGCCGGAAACCGGGATTGTGAACACGGCCAGCAGTTGGTGAAGTTTTGAGGAGGTCATAAGCTCGGAGAAACGGCCTCAAGTTCGGTCTATTTTTAAAAAGCAACATACCTTCAAAAGCCAGCGCTGCTAAGCGATTCAGGGACAAGCCGAGCTGAATAATTTCGATGGCGTGTTGCGCAAAATGGAAGTAAATACCTAGAAAAAAGGTTAGGACTTTAATAAAATCATAACAAAGTATAGAAGAGCCGCTGAAATGTCTACCCAGTGTCATATTCAGCGGCGCACCAAACGGCACCCAGCACTCGCAAATCGAGCGGTGCTTCCGGTAGATGTAATAACCATACTCTTCTTGTTCGCTAACATGCGTGGCCCTAAATCGTTTTTGTCCATTTTTATTACTACTAATTTTAAGCGATAAGCGACGTTTTTCTTGCTATTTCTACCAACTAAACTAACCAATGTTGCGTCGCATCCGTGCGTATAAAAGTACAAACACCAGGGTAAAACAGAATAATAGATTGCGCTATTCTTGTCAGATGCTCCATACAAAGATAAGTCGCGACCAGCCAGGATAAATGCGCATTTTTCTTTACTACGATTAAAGCGCCCGTGTTTGAGAGGATGGAGAGGAAGCCGAACTAAATTAAAGCGTTTTTTAGATGCTCAGATAAAAGCTGGCACCCTAAGTGTCGAGAACTTACCACAAAGACTATATTGAAAACGAGCCAATCCCGAAATACCATATCTTCGAAGTAGACGAACTTTGGCGAGTGATCGACTTTTGATTTTGCCATTGTAAAATGGAGCTGAAATGGAGATTATGGAATAGATTAATTTAGAGTGTAAGCAAAAAGTTAAAAACAACTTTCTAGCCTTCAAAAATCAACCCGGGGTACGGAACCCGAGCCAACTTGTCCAACAAAATTACGCCCATGGCCCAATTTGATTTTACGGGCGCCGCCAGGAACCGATTTTTGCCCACGCGACAGTAAGCGCGGAATTATCGAGGTTTTGAAAGCAAGTATACGACGTCGTTAGGAATCGGACGGATTTTTGAAGAACACTAGACAAGACTGGATCCTAAACTATACCTTGCTAGGTACATTTAGCGTTTTCGTTCGTTTTTTCGCTCCCATTTTCTCGTCCCAATCCGATTTCAATCCCTCTAGGTATAACCATTAAACTCAAATTAAGAAAACTTTATAACCTAAGAAAATATGAGATTTCTGGGCTCGCGAAAACCCGGTAATTTCGTTATTCCCCCGTTACTTGTTTGCGTTTTGTAATTTTATTTCACCACGTCTTTTTCTAAAGAGCATCGAATGGAACTTGGTGTTCTCTCACAATCTTCAGCTTTTTCGCTTAAGCTACTATCTTTTAACATTCATACCATGATTTAATGACTATTTAGACGCACCTCCCTAAGAAATGGGCAAAGGAAAGAAGCACTTCGTCGAGGAGTACGAACCACAAACCACCGAATTCAACTACTACTTTAATTTGCAACGGACTACGTTCGCTCCACACGACGCTGTAGATGCGCTTTATTTTTCTACAGTATTCGCGAATATTGGCGTGCACTGCTACGAGCTTCATCGGTTATGGACGAGTCCGTATAAGGAGGATAACCGGGCGAAATTTATTATATCCTACATGCACGTTACGGTGCGTTTTTCGAATTTTATCCTGCATCTGAAAATAACGAACACGGAGACGTACTTTCATATTCCGTCGTAGTTAAGGTCAGAAAAAAATCAATAAGAACCATTTCAGACGATATTACTTTGTCTTACGGTATTTTTGACGTTCGAGCGCACCCACACGCCATATGATATTGAAGTCGGCTACGTATCGGCCTGGTTATGGGGTGGATTAATCGTGCGTTTTTAATGCATTTTTTCTTCGGTATACTTAATTTTATACTTATTTACTAAAGAAACATTGTAGTTTCTATCCTTTTTAGTTGCAAACGACCAGCCCTTGCTATATCGTCGGCTATTTCTTGAATTGCTTCGTTTTTGATAGCCATATGCTGATGGTGGTCTTTATAAACTTAATGTCGCTTTTTGCAAAGGCAAAGAAGGCTGGAGAATATAATGTAAGTTACCAAAACCGTCTAAGCCGTTATTTTAGGTATTACCAATGTATAATTTCATCATTTTGAGCCTTGGTATTGGGGTTTCGGCAGCTTTTTCCACCTTTTACTACCTAAAAGCTAAAAAGAAATATTATAATGGATGGCAGGTATGTAACGTTGTACGTTGCTACGTTTCTAAACCTTACTTAAGCTCAAACGGCTCAAAACGACGTTATTTTATACCTATTTTTGCCTTTTTAGGGACTCCAAACTTTTGAACACCATCAGCGGTTTTTATCATATATCTACTATGCCTATGCGGCCATAAAAATTCTGCAACTAGCTTTAATGCTAACCAGAAAAAATTGGGAGCTTGTTTTCTGGGATTGCGTTACCTTACTTATTTTGTTTATTTTTGGGCATGCCACTACGAGCTATATGTTTGGCGTTATCGTAACTGATGAGGTCGGATTTTCGGGTCTAGACAGTCGAAAAAGGCCAAACTGGAGCCGGAAACCGACCGGAAATGAGTATCTTGTCCGGAAACGAAATTCATCGGCCTAACAGCCTTCGCAACAGATTTATAGTTTCTACACTTTAATCTCTTGAGTTTAGACAGGAAACTACGAAAAGCTGTGCACGCTAATACCAATCTACTCCAATTTGGTTTTATTCTCTGTAAATCGATTCGGAGATGAGGAAACGGAATGAATAAAGAATTTTCGAGCGTCGTTTTTCGTTACTACTTTTTTGGTTAATAGGCTTTCCGGGTTCAAGCAGATACGTCATCCACGAAAGCACGCATAAAATCTCGCTGACCTACACCAATTTCACGCAAATTGTTTTGCGGGGCCCGTTAACCGGCGGAATTTTTGTAGTTGGCCAAGAAGTCAGCCTGGGCGGGCGTAATTTGATTCGAGGCCTTATAATGCCAAATTACGCTCGGCACGCGAATGCCTTCGTAACCTTTTTTATTGTCTCGAATAAAGTTTTACCCTAGTTTACGCTTAAAATGTCACTTGTTTTCCAGATCATCTTGCCTTTCGTGTATTCAACGTTTGCTTACAATTTTTTAGCCTATAAAAATCGATAAAAATGGGCCGCGCCGACGACGAGATACAAACCAGCGAATTCTACCCGTACTTTAACATCCAAGCCACGGCCATTGCCCCGCATGATACGGTGGATATTATCTATTTTTCTGTACTGTTCGCGAATATTGGCGTACACATCTATGATATGTATCAGCTTTTGAAAAGCCCTTACAAAGAAGACAACCGCGCAAAACCTATAATCTTATATGTGCATGTTACGGTAAGTACAATTATCGACTACAAACTCTAAATCCAAGCTTTTTGGCCTATGAAATCCTAAAAAGTGCCTTTCAGACAATAATCCTCTGCCTGACGCCGTTATTTTATGTGGAAAGGACCCATGTGCCAAATGATTTGGAAGTCGGCACGCCGGCCTCGATTATATGGGGCAGATTTGTTGTAATTTTTAAGCCTTTTAATTAGTGAAAAAACGATATTCGATTTATTAAATTAAATAAGCATCGCGCGACATGAAACTGATCATTAGCGACTTTCAATGCCATATTCCTGTCTTTCTTTTTTCTTTCTTCTAATTTTTTTTTGTAAGCGACTAAAAATCGCGAAAACTAGGTTATAGGCATGTTAAATCGTATAAAACCTATCGAAAATCCAGTACGATTTAGCTTCACAACGATCACATCATTTACACGATCGTATTTTTCGTAAACTTCTACCTCTTCGAATCGCACATGCTGATTCTCCTCGTCATCAATATCGTTTCCCTATACGCGAAAGCAAGAAATGCCATCGAATTTGATGTAAGTAGAAGCTGACGTAGTTTCGAAAAATATTATAACGCGAGACGATAGCTATAAAAAGCTAAAACTAAAAAAACTAAACTAACTTCAGGTAATTCCACTCTACAACTGGATAATTTTGGCATTGGGCATACTACTACCAGCCGGAATTACGACACTTTACTACTGGCAGACAGAAAAAAAATTACTAGCTGGATGGCAAGTGGGTTTCCCTAATGATCAATGCTAGTTTGCCAAGTTGAGAAACCGCCAAATTTCTGGAAAATCAAAGCCTAAATTTGGAGACAGCTTTGTTTTCAATTTGAAAGGACATTCAATCTTTACGTAAAAACAATGAAAACAGGAAACAATAAGAAACTAAAGAAAATGAATCAGGGTAAAAACAAACTAAAAGGGCACGCGCCTCACTAAGAAAAATAAATTTCCGAATCCTTAGGGCCTACAAATCTACGAACCGCTCGGCGCCTTCCTCGGCTGGATTTGCGTGGCCTACGCGGTCCTAAAACTCCTCAACCAACCGCTAAACATTCGGGAAAAGAAGTGGGAGCTGGTGGCTTGGGATGCGTTTGCGCTGGTGTTGGCAGCATTATTTTCGCACGCGTTGACGAGCCCGTTTATCGTGCCCGGAACTCCGGTAGGCCAGCAGTGGGGTTGACGAATGTTCGAAAACCTAGTCCGATGACTACCCGAAACATTGCATGCTGCTGCCGATCTACTCGAACGTCGTCCTGTTTGCCGTCCATCGATTCGGGGATGAATGAAGCAGAAATTTTGCGCCTCTTGAAAGTTAAAGAAGCCAGGAAGCGCAAAAATCGACCCTGTTCGTTAGCTGGGCGTCGGTAGTTACGCTACGCACCAAAAAAAACACGCTTTTCACGTTGAAAAGCATTGCAAGCTATTCGGTAGCAAGTAGCTGCCCGCACCAAGCCAACGATAAGTGTAGATTTCGGCGGTTCATGACTCCTGTTTTACCTAAAAAGTGGCTTATATATGCGCATTTCCAGTGTACAAACAAATAAATTATATCTATAAGGAAACATTTGAATTCAAAGCCTTTATATCTCACATGGCGACAGGTGTGTATGTATGGGTGGAGGCAAAGACAGAGCAAAACAAAAAAAAATCCGGGCGCCGCACACGACATGCGTAATTATTGTTGGTAATGGTGGCGGACAGGCACGAATGGGGACGGTGGAAATAACTACATTTTTACAGATAAACCGATGGAATTCGGGGGCTCTGTCACTCTCCCTTCAGCATCCAAAACCCACGAGCCCCCAAACCCCAGCAGCACTTTCCTAAATAGATATTTACGCTCTGGGACACATAGATGGCGTGTAATCTCGATATATCCATGTTCGTCTGGTGCGCGGGGGTTACGGTAAGGCGGGGCGCGATTTAGGGGGAAACACACACCAATGGGATGAGCAACCTAGGAGAGCAATAAGCCAGCCGGGGTAGGTAGAGAAGTCTAACCATCTTTTAGGGGGCTGCGTGTGGGGGCGACAAGGCACAATTTAGCGAATAACACAACAGGGGGGCTGGAACGGTGATTGAGGGGCGATAGAAACAGACCAAGAGAGCGCTAGAGATATAGAGCAAAAACGATTTTGGGGATGGGGAAGTGGTCGGGACCCGAAATGTCGAATAAAGATCTCCGGAGAATTCTCATAGTTTTTTTGGGGAGGGTGAATGGTGGAGGGTAGACTAGAGCAACGGGCGGGTTGAAATAGGCAGAGACAAACGCACACACGCAATTCACAACCACGGGGTCTAGAGATGGGAGACAAAGTCGAAAGAGTTGAACAGATTCTGGTCGGCTTCGGTGATGGGGCGCCGATCTTTGGCCGAGGAGAAGCGCGGCTTCTCGGAGGTGAACTCGTCGTCAAAGTTGGAGACGTCCTCGGGGTTTTTCTGAAAATAACAAAAATTCCAATATCGCCCAGTGTACCTAATGAATTGAATTAAATTAAACATGGGTTCTAAAATTGCTCATCTCGGATTTCAACCCTAACTCGGTCCACCCATGGTATTCTATACTTTGCATAAATCTTCCCGATCCGCCTGCTAAAAATGTGAAACCGCTTGTTTAGTCACTTTATATAAGCCCACTCACCCCCATTTCCGGTCAATGCTAATCTTTCATATCAAAAAGAATTCCTTAAGTTTCACAAAAACTAGAACCAAATAAGAACAAACAAAAACCTAGCTTGAATTCAATATTTATATACTTTACTTTCAATACTTTAAAAAACCCACAATCGAAGGCGTGAAGCGCGGGCGAATCCGCTTGGCCAGCAGCGCATCCCATTCCCAGTTGAGGTGCCGGAAGAAGCGCTGGCATTTGACCTCCGTAGCATCCGGGGTACCGTAGCCGAGGCGGCGTTCCGGGTTTTTCCGGAGCAACTGGAAATGATGAAGTTCAGAAAATAATGGAAAAACTGACCCTTCGCATTATTGAGATGCTCTCGATCGTCAGGAACCTCGGGTACCGGACGTCGTCGGAGACGATCGAGTCGAAGATTTCTTCTTCGTCATCACCTGGAAAAATACGTTCAAAAAGTTAACTTTTCAAATATAGATAAAAATGTAATTACGCCAAATATATCAACGTTCCGCAAAAAAAACGTGCCCGAAAATGGCGGCTCTCCGACCAACATCTCGAAGATCAGCACACCCAGGCCCCACCAGTCGATGGAACGCGTGTAGGAGGACTCGGTGAGTACTTCGGCTAAAAAACCAATTATATTTCGTAACCTTACGCGAAGGACTAAAAACTCCAAAAACATACGAGCCAAAAATTCGGGCGTCCCGCAGAACGTCGACGTTTTGTCCAACGGGCCCATTCCCTCCTTGCACAGCCCGAAATCGGCCAGCTTCACGTAGCCCTCGCGGTCGAGCAGCAGGTTGTCGAGCTGGAGTTATCAACCATTGAAGAAAATTAAAACTGGCACAAACCTTCAAATCGCGATATATGATGTTGTTCTGGTGCAAGAACTCGAGGCCGAGCAGCACACAGGCCGCGTAGAATGCCGCGCGTTCTTCGGTGAAGATATCGTCGTGGATGTGGCGCATCAGGTCTCCTAAAAATGAAAGGGTTTGAAAACGAAAAAGGCTATAATAAAGTAAAACGAAAACTCTAAAAACAAGTGTTTACCTCCCATCGAATACTCCATGACGAAGAAGACGTGCTCGCCGCTTTGGATGCATGCAAACAGGTTGACGAGGAATGGATGGTGCGCCCGAGTGGCCATCTAGAGAATCGATTTTGGATAAACCGTTTTAGAGCACTTTACTAAACGTTTTTCGAAATTCAGATGGATAAAGAGACGACCGCTCCAGACAAAAAAGGCCGAAACTACAACAGTTCTCACCTCCAAAATCCGCTTCTCGACCATCAGCGACTCGACCTCATCGCGGGCGAGGATGTCGCCCTTCTTCAACGCCTTGATGGCGTAGTACTCCTTGGAGGGGACGTACTTGGCGAGAATGACCTGAAACGGCATTGAAACGCAGAAAATGGAATTTCTACCTTTCCAAAGTGCCCCCGCCCAAGCACCGAGATGAGCTGGAAGCTGGTGATCTGGACGGCGGAATGGGCCGGCGATGTTGGTGGCGGAGGGGCGACGGTTGAGGGTGGGCGGGAGAGCTGAAAACGAGGCAATTTGTTGTCGTGATCAGAATGTCTCAAAGATCAACGTCTCAACGCACAACAAAACACTTTTTTCTCAAAATCCACAAACTTGACGATAACTAGAGTTGTTAATTTAAACAAGAAACGTACCGCAGCTCTTGGCAGCGGCACCGGTGCGATCGGGGCCGAGATTTGGGCGGACAGCGGATGGCTGTGCGAATCCAGGTCCAGCGATTGATGCACCGACGTGTGCGAAATTGAGGGCATCGACGGACGGCGCGCTTCGAGGGGCTGAAATGGGAAAAATTGTAAAAGTCTAAACTCAGCTGAAGTTGATTTTCAAAAGCTAGAAAATAACGAACCCTTGTATCGATGTGATGTACACTTTGCTGCGTGCGGAATGCCGGTTTGCCCTGCTTGGGCGATGACGATTCGGGCCGCTTCTCCAGCCCATGGCCAACCCCGATTACCGGCTCTTCGGCGCGAGCGGTTTGTCTAAAAACGATGTTGATAGATGGTTCAAAAATTTAATAACATTTTTGAAAAGCTTGGCAACTCAAAAATACAAACCTCGTCAACAACCGTGACCACGCGTTGATGCCAATCTCCTTCTTCACGCCGGCCGACGATTCCTTGGCGTCTGAATGGCCTGAGGATGTATCTGGTCCCTAGTTCACAAAGATACCTTTGACGCGGAACAGTCGCTTTTGCCGCTCCAACCTCGGCTTTCGGCTCTCCACCGGGTTGTAGTATTTGAACTCAAAAATTATACTAAAAAAATAACAAGAATTATATACCTCAACGAACAGCTGGCCCTGGGGCTCCAAGTCGATGACCATGCCGGCCTTCTTCTCGTTCGACTCGATGATGTGGCCGAGTTGCATGACGGAAAAGGCGCACATCGAGCGGTGGTCCTTGTAGAAGACCTCGACTTCGAGCTCGCGACTCTAAAAAATGACAAATATACAAAAAAAATTAAAAACTATTATCACCCAGCTTAAAAATGGCTCACCCGATCCATATTGAAGGCAAATCGCTGATCGAAGGCTTGCGGATTTGGTGCCCGGGCTTCCGATTGAAAGACGAGCTGCAAACAGCGTGATTTGAAAAATAAGAAAAACAAAATTTACCTTGTTGTCGACGCGAAACACGACAAACACTTCATCGGACCGGTTGGGGATGCTAAAAAGAAAGAATTAATCAAAAGCCCAAAATCCCAAGTTAGCCGAAAAATAAGCAAACTGTGAGCTGCGGAAACAGTGTTTTGGGGGAAGACAGGGGGATTAGCCGGGTCCCAGGGATTCCGAGGGTGGGAGAAAAAGATGTTTGAAAGCTCCGGGGGGTTGGCAACTTGCCAAGTTTCATGCCAGGTCACTTCCATGTTCATTTATTGCAGTCTAGCAGTACTCTATGCTTGGGCTACAAGAATAAAGAGATACATGCATTTGTTAGTCGGAAAATCCTGAAAGTTTTTAGTGGCTTCACCTTGCTGAAGCTTGGAATTTCGGTGCATCCAATTTATGGCGCGCAGGACGTGCAATTATTTTTAGCTAATTTCTTCTGTTTAGCCTATTAACAAAGTTAGCAAATTTTCGTGTATTTTTTTAGTTGCTGCCGATAGCTAAAAAGCTACAAAATGGAAATTTTTAAAATTTGCAATTTTTAATAGGGCCGGTTTTCATCGATTTTTGGCCTAAATAGTCGAAAAATCTATAATATAAAAATTTAAAGTGCGGCGAGTTATTTTTTTGCGGAAAAAAAATTTGTCTCTCTCCTCTGGCGTCTTTCCCTTGTTTTCATTTTTTTTTGGTTTAAATCAAACAAAACTGCCCAGATTTCTAATGCACAAGCGAAAAAGTTGGCGATAACCGGAAACACCGGAATTCCTGCTAAGTTCACGTTAGATTCAGATAGAAAAAAGCACAGACAGATCCAATCAAGCCTAAAACAACAAAAATCAGGCGACAGTTGCAAACGGCGTGCGCTCGTGCTCTCCAACTGTACTCTAAAGTACGGGGGTGCGTACTTTGTGCGTCCGGGCGGCGGTGAGAAGTGCTTGGGAGGCGCGGGACGGTACGGCGACCGGGGCAGATCCGGCAGATCCGAGCCCATACACAGCGACTCCATGGCGCGCCGGGGGACCGACCTGCAGTAGGTGACAATTTGTTCCGACCGATGGCTAAAACACATTTCGGCACCACGCAATGATTTCCCATTACCACCACACTACCCAGCTAAAAATAATAATGATGATAATGGCATCACAAAGTTGGGGGGCTTGAAGCGAAAAATCAGCGGTTTTTCGCTTCAGGCCCTTTTCTAGGAGAATAAGAATCTAGGGCGACATACTAACAAAAACAGATGCTGCGCAATCAGCATGAGAAGGGTGCAAAAAGGCAAGTATATCCTGCAAAAAAAGCCAAAAACTGGTGCAAGTGCAGGGCGAGTGGAGCCGTGAAAAACGCAAGATTAAGCTTGAAAAATGGGCTTTAATTTTTTGTGCGCTACAGAAGATTTTTCCGCCAATAAAATGCAGCAAAAGCTTCTATCAACCCAGCAAAAAGCCAAAAACAGCTTTTCAGCACCAGAGCACCAAACAGAGCATCAAAAAAAGAGCAAGAACAAAACCCAGCAAGAGAAGAAGGAGAAAAATCAGCGCCTACACCTGTGGTAGTCCGAGAGGATACAAAATACCCCTTTGTCTGTATGTTTGGTGTGGCATCGCGGGTTGATTAGTCCCACCGCCAGGCCCTCGAAATGGCCGATAATGTTCTTACGGTGGATGCAGCGCATACCTAGCGCTGCGACCGGTCGGCGCCTTTGCGAACTTGGAGCGGCTCGTTGACGAGTCGCCGCCGATGAGGCCCGTCATCGAGCCGGATGCGGTTGCCCCGAGCGCTTCGTGGCGTGATCTCCGTTCCAGCACCTCGGCGACAAGGTTTTGTAGGCCCATCATTCTAAAAAACACGAGTTCAAGGAGTTCAAGCTGCTCTACGCACCTGACTTCCAAACGCCCGCTCACACAAATCCCCATTCTGGCCATGCTCGCCCGGCGGTTGTTCAGCCCGACACTTCGGGGGAGGCTGTTTGTCGTGTTATCCTGAAAAATTAGCATAAGTTCGAGTGCATATCGCATTACAAAAACACTTAGAAAAAACATTTAGAAAAACTCACAAATGATCCGGCTACTCGATTCAACGTTGGCGGGCTGAATCTGGAGTAGGCCTGCGAGGGAAGCCGCGCCATTTCGATCTGAATTGAGATTATTAGCCGATTTTCGTAGTAGAACCTCTCCCAAAATCTCCTTTTTTCGGCTGTTCTGCTCGGCGGGCATCTTGTCGATGTACTTCTTGACGGTCAAGTAGATGAGGTCGAGCTTTTCCTCAGAGAGCAGCAGATTTTGAGATGCCTAATCAAGAAATTAGGATATTCTCGAGAAAACCTACATCATTGATGCCCTTGCCATCTGCTTTCTTCTGCGCCTTCATCACTTTCAGGATATTTCGCGCTCCATCGGCCATGGCGACTTCTTTTCGCATCCGGTAGAGGAGATCCTCGATTTTCACCTCGTTCTCGGGCCGGACATCTGGAAATTGAGCATGAAGCTTCATTTGTGAAACTGGCTTTCGAAAATCTTTCAAGATAGATGACCAAATAATCCCTCACCTTCTTCATTCGACGCCTTCATCGCCTTTTCAATCTCCATGCGCAGGAAGGCTATCTTTGCCCTGGATCCCTCGAGCATATCTCTTGACGTGTTGATGTTGTCGACCTGCGAGCGATTGGGGGGCAACGTGGAGACGTGTGCCAGGAACCGTTCAACGCCATCCTTGACGCTCAGCTCCTTTTCGAGGTCTTTCTAAAACAAAAGTTTTTGGAAGCCATGGAATTAGGGTATACCTGTAGTTGTGCGAGGCGATAGGCGGTCGACTTGTTCTCGCTGGGTTGTTCTTGGAGCTCTTCGCTGCCCGAGTCGTTTGCATCTGGAAAGGAGAAAACTTAACTTGACAAGACCAATTTTTTAGCTTCACCAACCCTTGAGTGGAAGCTTTCTAAAAATCGTTCTAAAGCGACGTGCCAAAACCATTTTTCACCAGTTTTCAGGGAATACGGCAGAAATGCCAGTTTGAGCTTTTCACCCCGGATTTTGTTCCTCGCGGTATTAGCATTCGATTCCCCCATGCATTGACCTCTCAAAAGTTGCTCTCCCCAGGTCGAGCCTCACCCCCGGTCTCCCCACTTTTATTTTGTGCATGTTGTGATGGGACAGAGAGTCCATTTGAAGCTTCCCCCAAACAGTGCCCGCCAGAATCTGGCGTGCAAACTCATTATATGACCCACGGGAGGCTTCCACCAACTACCCCGTCCGTTCGTTCGTTCCCACACTGCCCGGCCGTATTTACCCAGGCGTCCCATCCACTCGGCGAAACAAAGCTATTTGCTGGGGGTGTGGTCCAGCAAAATGTTGCACAGGTGGTGCAGAGGGCAATGAGCGCCGTTTTGCAACACTAGGAAGTGACGTGGCGTGCGGGGAATTTCATAATTTTAAAGGTGAAGCATATTTTGTTCCTATCTTAGTAAAAAACCAATTTATGCAATTTGAAAAGCGTAAACAAACTGTCTTAAAAATCAGAACGAATTTTGTCGAATCCCGGAATCGGCTAAAAACGCATTCCTCTGTTGTCGTCTTTTACCAAACCTAAATCTACAGTCTAGATCTAAGCGACGGTCTAAAAATAAATATCAAATCTTCTTCACGTTTTTTGGAGAGCATTGTCAATATTTTCGGCATCCCAGAACCTGGCACAATTTTTATTTTGATAGCTCTCGATTTCCCGAAGCTTCTTCCAATTTTTTTCCATGCTCCAAAGACCATCCCGCAAGACCAATTCTCAAAAATCATCCCGATCTCCCCCTGGTGTGCCATCCTTGATTTCTCAAATCCCCCGCATGCGATTTTCACAGCTCGCGGCCCGAAAAAACAGTGTGCACCACTTCGAATCCACTCCACACAGCCACCCGTGTGTGTGGCGGGGGCCCTGACCTGGGCAAATAAAGGAGAAGCCGCCGGGTGGATAGGTGGGGAGCCAATGAGACGATAAGGTCTTCTTCTTCTACTGCTTCTTCCTTGCCGGCCTTGCGCTTGCCTTGAAATGCTTTTGGCGGGCGGTCAACGAGCCGGGCTACTCACCCCACTCACCAGGAATAGATAAGCTTGGCGGGGCGAAGCAGCCGGGGCTAATGTTTTTGGGGATTGCTACCCGTGGAAGGCGTGAACAGACCCAAAAATCAGGGACGCCACACCGGAAGCCCGGTTCATGGTGACAGGGCGTTAGAATTTCTGGAATGCGGTTATTGGGGGTAAAGGATGAATTATATAAGCTGCGATAAGGTAACGGATTTGTGACATTTTCAGCATTCCAAGATTGAAAAGGGCAAGGGGCTAAAAGCATCAAGTCTATTAATTTGTCCCCCGCAATAAAATTTGGGTAAAGGGGTAGGATGGAGCCCAAAAAGTTCTGCAAATCCAACGTGGGAATTTCTGGAAACCTGGAAGCGCGCTGCAAAATGGCGGATTTTGAAGCAAATGAGTGGTTAGCTAGGTCTGGAAGATTGCCAGAAATAGACGCTGGATTTTCGCCTTCAAAATGATCTTTAAAGGAGTCAAAGGCGCTGGAAAGATCAGATTTGTTCATAACTTTAGTAAAATGTTATGTATCTTGCCAAAACCCTGGAGTCAGTCGCGTACAAGATTTTGAAAACTGGGATGAAGGGTACCGCCGGGATTTTGGATTTCAAAGCTCCTTTAAAGACGTACAAAGTTTCACTAACCCCGGAAACCAGCTGTTTCTGCCCACTGCCCCCTATTCTTTCCATCCCCCACTTCATCCACCCAAACCCATCTGTACCCTCAAATTTCGGGTGCCCCGATTGAAGAGGAGGGGTTGCCCGGCTTGAAGCCGATGTGGGGCACAAGCTAAGGGGGGAAGAGGGTGATTGGTGCTAGCGAAGACGGAGGGCCCCCAGGGGAAACCACAGCACCCCAGCAGCCCTGCGGTCCACCCAAATAGCCCTTGTAGACAGCGCGGGCTAGTGTGCTTCTTGTTGTGGGGCGAGATGGGCTTGTCTTTCTCATTGATCTTCACCAAGGCGGGAGAAAAGTTGAAAAAACGAGCGGGAGGCGGTAAAGAGGAGCTGGGTGGAAAAGGAACGGATTTATGGGTGCCCTTGGCGGGTCAAGGACGACATCCAGAATTTGGAATTGGAAGTATTTTATAAAAATGCTTTGAAAGCCAAGCAAATTTCAAGGAAGCGGGGGAGCAAAAGCCAAGTTCTACTCACCAAAAGCTCCGGTGTCGTAGATGTCGAGCAGTAATACATCTTCTTGCAGCTCGCTGATGTAGTCGTGAATGTCCCGCAGCTCCTTTTTCAGGTTGTCCTGCATTTTGCTTCGGCTGACTTTCTAAACAAATGGCATAATTGGGTTTATCATTTTTTTCACTATTTATTTACACAAATAGGAATGGTTAAATTACAATTTTAACAAATTTAATTCTTACAAGAAGGTTTTAAGGAAATAGGTACTTCAAAATTTGGAGATACTTAAGTACAGAAATTTCGCATCAACCGACCTGCATTTGCTTGATGCCCTGCTTCATCTTCATCTGCTTTTTGATTTCCTTGCGGATCTCATTCTTGATGCCGACCACCTCCTTTTGCAGGGATCGCTTGTCCGAGATGTGGTACTGGTATTTGCGCGCAAGCTCCGCCAACTCCATCGGCACCTGGCCCGCGTCGGAACTCGAGCTGAAAAATTGGACTGGTTAAGGTTCAGAAGCTGCGAAATAGCCCCAAATCACCCTAAGACCACGATTTTTCAAAAAAAAATCGAGGAGGGGAGGGGAAAGCTCGAGTGGCTGCTCAGGAGAAAGAACAACCGCCCCAAAACCAGCCAAAAGGTCACAAAAAACGGCATGGCGGTGCGGATTTTCGATACAAATCCGGGGGCAATCGAGCCTCGGGAATGTACGCAAAATTAGGATTCGGTTAATTAGGCCACTGCGAAAACATGGCGTATTTTCAAAGGATATCCTACGAGAAGCCGTAAAAACCGAACTCAAGGGAGAAAGTGGCGTGAAAAACAAGCTAAAGCTTTCAAAACCGGGTCAAAACAGCACCACCTATATAACCCGCCATTATTAACCGGGGGAACAACAGGGAAGTAGTAAACTAGCCGACCTCCCCCGCGAATAAGTGTCGAGACCCGGATCCCGGCGCCGCGAACAACTGGATCCAGCTAATAGCCGGCCGGGTATTTGCTACGCACGCGCGCCTATGCAGCCAGCGCCCAAGGTGCGATCAAGCCCCAAAAAACTGGATGCGCCAAACGCCGTGCCGCGCGCCATTATCGATATCCACAATCGGCGTCATCCGAGGGGCCCCGACTCGGGGCGAGAATATCACCCGGGTTTTGAGCCCGAGCTGGGTCAATCGGGCGAAAGTATTTGTGGGGATGCGCGATTCGAGGTGGCTGCGGGAGGATGGTGAGAATGTGCCCCTGATCCACAAACAATCGAACTCCCTTCGCGTGATGATTTCGGCGCCTGCATTGGATATGCGACAATTTATCACCCATGCACCGGGATAGCCCCCCGAGGGCGTCGCCCCCACCTCCACCGAAAATAGGCGCCGAATCGGGGCACCAAAGATTGGGTCAAAATTCACGGTGATCCACTCAAAATTGACTAGATTCAGCGTCGTGAGAATAAAAATGCAGGGCCGGAATAGCGATTTCGCGCCCGCCTACCAAATTGTTTTTTTTATGAAAATTACCCCCAGACGTCATAAGAATAAACAAACGGTACCGAGTTGAGCGCCTTTGAACGGGATGGTTAGAAAAAATTAAAAATTCACCTTTTCATGATCCTGACGTAACCGATAGTTTTCAAATTCAGGGGTTTCTCGTGAAATAGAAATGCCAGGGGAATCTACCCCCGAGTAGCGCTCAGCGGTGAATTCCTAACCCCCGCGAAACTCTAAAAAACACACCTCGACGGCTCGCCGCCTCCATTGCACGTATCCGGGCCGTCGTCCCCGGCGCCCATCTGAAAATTGAAAATTAAAATTTCATCGCTGACACCGGTGTGTGACGCAGAAAAAGAAAATCGCGTATAAGAGGAGAGCGGTGGCGAAAACGTGCAAAAAGCTGACGAGCCCAGAATGGGTTGGGGCGAAAATTGAGATTTTATAGCGCGACGCTCGATAAGAAGGATTGGCCGAAGGTACGATAAGGGAGGTGACCGAAAAACTATTGAGGATAGGACGGCGATAGAAGTCGACAGGGTTTGAAGTTTAAAAATAAAGGTGGCGATTTTCGATATAGGATAATGGATATCGATTGATTTTTCGAAGAGCCCGGGTTGCATTTGAGTCATAATTGTTTTCCAGGAATAGAGATCTATCGCTTGAACAAATAGAAAAAGGAGGAGCAGGCATAAATGACGATTGCCAAGCAGTAGTTCCGATCAAAGAACCACTCGTTTTGTTCCTGAGAAATCGAATAAACTTTTAGAAAATTCGTTACAAGACGCATATTTTTGTTAGCAATTTTGAGCAGCGTTTTGACGTCATGAGGTTAGACAAAATATTCTCTACATATTGCTGAAAACTGCAAAGTGTAGCAATTCGCCCGGAAAACGGCTTCACCATGGGACAATTCACCGGGGATGGGCTCATTTGAAATGCATTACGCGGGGAAATATAGGGTAAACGTGAACGTCGCGCAAGCCAAAAACAAAAGTGCGGTTTGCGGAAGCCGCCCGCCGCGATCAATCAAAACAAAAAGATTAGTGAGTCGGCGAAAAGCGAGGGCAAAAGAGCATGAAGTTGGTTCGCATGCGATCCGCGCGCAGCAGATCGGATGCAACGGCAAACTACAAGATACAAACAAAACCATGAAGAATAATTTTCAGTGACTGATGACTGATTGTTACAAACTCTGCCCCACCGCCGAAAGTGACAGCTAATCCGAATAATCCGCTTGCTAAAGTGTTGCGCGTGCGCGACGCCCCAGGGGACCCCGAAAAAGGGGGAAGTGGAAGCGGAAAGCGCGGCGCGCGAGGAGTGTGTGCCGCTGGGGACGGACGAGGTCCGCAAAAATAAACACCCTCCCTCATCGGCCACAACCGCCACCACCACCATCAGGCGGACACTGGGAAAAGCTGAGGAATTTCGGAAATTGGCGGTAGAAGTGAGAAACGATGGATCAGCTTACGTGTAATTTAGAGCTTGAGTGAGTGCTTGACGTAAAAAAACTGAAAGGGAGCTTGGGTTTCAAAAACTAAATAGAAAAATGAAGCTAAAATTCTAAAGAAAATGAATGAAAGAAAATATAAACTTGAAAACTTCAAAGTAAGTGCGCAGAAAAGAGAAAATGCTACGAACCCATACTATTCAACCCGTTCAAAGGAGCATCGCGTAGCCCAATTTGACCACGTGAGGCTCCTTTAGACGGATTGACCGTCGCCTCTCGGACTTTTTTCAGATAAAATTCATATTTTTAACTAGAGATGTTACGAATCAAGTAATATAATGACCAAGTAAATTTGCTTGAACAACTTTAATTGCATCCGAAATCTTCAAGTAAATATAAAATTATTTTACGCCGTTTGCTTAAATAAGCATCAAGTAAAATAAAATTATTTGATTTACTTGGATCTTGATTGACGGGGAGAATTACTTGGATTTTCAGCGAAATTATTTGATTTTGTGCAACCACAATGCAAATCAGGCAATGTGCCGCGAACCCCAGTGAATTAGCATTCGATCATGTCATAAAGTTCATTACCATCCGAAAAATGCCAGAATTCCAGAAAGCTATTGTTTGATCAAGTAAATCAAGTAAATCAAGTAATCTTACTTGGTTCTCTCTCAAGCGGAGTCAAATAATATTATTTTACTTGGTCATGCGCTCAGCCCCATCCAAATCAAATAATATTGTGCCATTGTATGCAAATAATCTTGATTGTTAATTGATTCTTAACATCTCTATTTATAACAGAATTCGTGCCGGTTTAATTAAAACTTATAATTACTTGCCACAAAAAATTGCTGCCCTAACATCTCGGGTTTGTTTATAGCAAGACAACTTCGACCGGTATGAATCAGCTAGGGCCTGTAAACTAGACCTCCCGAACCCCCATATACCCCCTTTACCCCCATTTACCCCCAAAAACCCCCTCCCAACCCCCCCAACCCCCCAATACCCCCCTACCCAACCCCCTCCCAACCCCCCCAACACCCCCGCCCAGCCCCCCAAAACCCCCTCCCAACCCCCCTATAGTGCAAGCAGAGGGTCGGGGGTTCGATTCCCGGCCGCGGAAAAACTTTTTGCTTTTTGGGTATTCGGTTCTGGGGGGTGTGACAAGCCTAGAGGACAGTTAATTTTTTGTCGAACTCTTAAAACCATACGACCCGGATTTTTACCCGGTGAATTGCTTATTTTTTATTTGAGATTGTGGCTTGTTTATTATCGGAATGACACCATTATTGATTGTTGTAGGCCCTACACAATAACTCATTGGAAACTTTTTAAAATTGAGCTTTTGCCAGCCTTGAGGGGCAATGAAAATTTATCAAAATTTTGTTTCAGGAAGATTTGGGCTAAAAGTTGTCAAATCGCAGCTATTGTATATAGGAAAGCTGGGTTACACTTTTTAAATAGATTTCTGGTAGAAACCAACAAAAAAAATTAGTTAATTAATTTTTATCCATTGGCAGCAAGCAAAACCGACAAACTAACCAGCTTCCCACTTTTTTCGTGCCGTAATGGTTGTTCAAGACTTGCTACAGCTAATAGTAAACAAAAACAAAGTATAATGAATTGAAGTAACTTTTAGTTTATGTATCGAACCCCCCAAAAACCCCCAAAACCCCCCCAACCCCCTCCCAACCCCCTCCAACCCCCCCCAACACCCCCCTCCCAACTCCCCCATTACCCTGCCCAACCCCCCAAACCCCCTACCCAACCCTCCAACCCCCCTAAGTAGGGGGGTAAAGGGGGGGGGGTTCGGGAGGTCTACTGTAAACTATAGTTCGTAGCCTAAAACTCAGGAAACGTGCATTTCGAGGCCATCCCCAGCTCAACTTCCAAATTGCCGATCAGCGCGGGTCAAAAAAGAACACTGGAACATTGCGGGGGAATCGATGTGTGGCCGGGGTGGATTTCCCGCAACCGAGCGCGCGCGCACGGGCCGGCCAGGCCGACCTGCCCGCCCCGAAATCCGAAACCCTCACTTTTCAGGACACACCGAAGGGGCCCCGCCAACTAGCCATCGGTCAATTGAGTCTCGAGATCCGGGTGGGGGAGGTGTGTTGAGCGGGACGCGGGAGTGAATGAGGAACGGTGTGAAACGATATGTGCTTTTTTCGAGCGGGAGCGGGATTAGGGATTTGGTGAATTTGAGGTGGGGAGTGGAGTGAGGGTTTAGAGAACTAAAGTCTGGTGGTTCTATACCGGTAACGGGGATTTTGTACGAAATCGGGGATTTTGTACGAAATCGGGGATTTTGTACGAAATCGGGGATTTTGTATGAAATCGGGGATTTTAGTTTGGAATCTTCGAAATCGGGGATTTTAAAAAACTGAAGATCGGCTCGATTTTGGAGCCGCCGAAATCAGGGCTTTTAAAAGGGGTTGATCGGACGGGCTAAAATCCCCGATTTCGAGACGGCGAAAAACGGAATTCATAAAAGTTGTCCGGTAGTCCCTGACAATTAGGTTTGCTTCGGCGTCGCTTAGCTTTCACATGAACTTAGAGCGCTATCAAAACACTTCTTGCAGTTATTAGTCCATGTGGTGTTTGGCTGCTCTTAAATTACTTTGTGCAATCAATGTATTAGAACCGTACCTGACGTACGGAACTTCTAATATACCGAAGAGGCCCGAAGTCCTATTATTCAAAGCTCAAAAGGGACCTGATCCGGTTGAATCATATATTACTGAAACAACGGCTGAATCCTACTACAGGGTGTCCCAAAAAAAAACGAACCATCTGGCATTTTGCCGTGTGACATCCAATTGGTCCCAAATTTGGACTAGAGGTGTAAGAGACTCATTTTTTGTCATCGAAAGTCGCGAGAATTATGCAAAGTGAGGAATATCATGGGATCAGATGGGGCCAGGGTTGATAAGTCGCGAAGCTGCTTTTCAACCCTGGTAAGCTTTAAATGAAGTATTTTCGTTACTAAATGTACAGACTTGAATTTAAATAGTCATTATAGTTCTAAAATAGATCAACGATACTTCGGTTTCTGGACTCCTCCAAGCCAGGCTTCACAATAAAGCACCCTCTGGCATGATGTAATACTAACTACAGTATATTCAAAAATAATAAAATGTTTAATTTATAATGTTTTACTAAGTAAAATTAGACGTAATTCAGCCGAAAGGCACTACCGGACTACCGGACAACTTTTATGAATTCCGTTTTTCGCCGTCTCGAAATCGGGGATTTTAGCCCGTCCGATCGACCCTTTTAAAATCCCTCGATTTCGGCGGCTCCAAAATCGAGCCGATCTTCAGTTTTAAAATCCCCGATTTCGGCAAAATCCCCGATTTCTGGTAAAATCCCCGATTTCGAAGATTCCAAACTAAAATCCCCGATTTCGTACATAATCCCCGATTTCGTACAAAATCCCCGTTACCGGTATAGAACCAGTCTGGTAAATCCTAGATGTTTGTGGTTCAAAATTTGCAGACTTGAGTAAAAAAAAGAGAAAATGGCACGTTTTTGAACGTTGTGCGAATTTGACATGATCTAACCAGGGGGAGAAAAAATTTAAAAATTAAATTCTAAAACGCCATAGATCAGCCCCTTTTTGAAACCGGCATCCTGCTCAGAATTTTTTCTCTCCGTGAAACTAGACAGGTCCCGTCCGGAAACTACAAAAGTACCTAAACACGGTTCCTTAAATCGAAAATCTAGAAATCGTAAACCTAGTGGTTATAAAACTCTTAAAACAGGTGAGAATAGCTTCAAAACGCTTTGCAAACGCTGAAAAATATCTCATGCTGCTGATTTTTAGGCGCTAAGTTTCATCTGTTA